CTATCCTTACGATCGGGTCGAAAGTATTTTTGATTACCTTGTCGACAATGTTGTCTATTATGGGACACCTTAGAATTATCAACATCAATCGAATGAGGGATGTGCTTAAAATTTTTCAAACTAGCAGATAGGATCTTACTCTCTTCAAGAGTAGCGGTCATTTGAGTTTGAATAGCCGCTATTTGTCGGGTGAGTGCATCGAATTGTGAGGGGTTCATGTTTAAGGTACTAGAGCTAGAAGTGACAAGATGACCAATATGTAACTAAATGCACTGTAATAGCAACTTAATGACATGCAATAAAGAGATCAATGAACAAAAAGTGCAAGTAATGGAAAATGAAAATTTGAGCTAATTTTTTTTTTAATTTAAATTTTGGGACTAAAATTATATACAACAAGCTAGCACTGCTGATATATATGTAAAATAATAAAGCAATAGTCAAATACTAGTCAAAACCTAATCACGTAAAATAAGCAGGTTAAAGTGAGATTTAACGAGGTCAATGGATCCAATTACGTGAGTTTAGATAAAAATAGATCAGTAGCAGCACAAAAATTTAATTGATGCAATTTCAAAATGAAACAGTAATGTAAACCAACAATAAATAAAAGCAAGAACTTCTCTTTCGTTCGTCGAAGTAGTCAAGCTAGATCAACCAGAATAAAAAATGTACCTGTAAATAATAGAAAAGACGTTTCTTCTCTTTTTCTTTTTTCTTTTTTTTTTTCCTTTTTTTTTCTTTTTATTTCACTTTTTTTTTCACTTTTTTTTTCCTTTTTCTTTTTTTTTTCACTTGTTTTTTTTTCTTTTTCTTTTTTTCCCTTTTTTTTCAATTTTTTTTTGGGAACTGCAGAAAACGATAAATAAATAAAAAAGAAATTTCGGGTGTGAACAGTACACGTGAACAGTGACGATTTTTTTTTTGGAACTGCAGAAAATGATAAATTAAAAAAAAAAAGAAATTTCGGGTGTGAATAGTACTCGTGAACAGTAATAATTTTTTTTTTTTTGTGAAACTGCTTAAAAATTTATAAAAAAAAAAAAAACTGAAATTCCGGGTGTGAACAGTGAATTTTTTTTTTTCAACTAAGACTGAAAATTGAAGAAGAAGAAAAAAATTGCTGCCTGTACCAAATATTCTTTTAGTTCGTGCTGTTCCAACAGATTTTGGGAAAAAAGAAGAGATTTTGGATTGTAAAAGAAAGTACCCAAGATTCGGCTATGATATCAAATTTGATGTAGGATGAATAAGAAAGAAAGAAGAAGGAACGGAGAGGAAAACAGAGAGAAGGGAGAAGAGGAGAA